GAGATGGAATTCTCACTGAGAGGAATGAGATAGGTAAATTTTATTTTCTGTTAGACAGTGAACTGTATCCCCCACAAAGTTATATTGAAGTTCAAACTCACAGAACCTCATAAATGCTCTTATTTGGAAACGGGGTTTTTGCAGGTCTAACCAGCTAAGATGAGGTCATCAGGATGGGCCTGACCCAGTGTGACCAGTGTCCTTCTGTTACTAACCAGGGTTCTTGGCCTCCTTGATCAACAGAAATTGATCAGAGGCCAGATAATAAATTCCGGCAAGACTTCATTGCAGCTCCTTCTGCAGCACTGGGAGAGAGAACAAACAACAGATTCCCCCCCTCACCGAGGGGGCGGTGAGGACAGGGGTGTGTCCAGGGGGTCAGACTGCAGGGTGACGTAGGTGGTCTGCCCACCCCTTAGGTAGTGACGTGTGCAGGGGGCATGCTCAGCACTCTGCCTTTGTTCCCAACACCCAGTTTTGCTCCTGACACCCAGTTTTGCTCCAGGCTCTTCAAAAGTGGCAGTTGGGCTTTTCGGTCTTTCAATCTTTTGTCCAGAATTTGTCCCAACTGTGCATGCACACAGTTATTTTTAGCCCCATATAACTTATTTGTATTTTGTCACATGAGAGGTGTGTCTAGGTGCAACCAATGCAGTAAAAGGTTCCAGGTCCCAGCCTGTCTCACTTATATAAAGTGAGACATTTGGGCACAGATGTGGACATGCACAGAGAGAAAGTGGTGTGAAGAAAAGGTAGAAAAGCTGAGGATTCAAGAAGCGAGGAGAGAGGCATGAACAAATTCTCTTTCATATCCTTTTCAAGAAACCAGTCCTGCCCACATCTTCGTTTTGGACTTCTAGCCTCCAAAACTGTGAGATCAATAAACATCTATTGTTTAAGCCACCCAGTTTACTGTGCTTTGTTACCGTAGGTTCAGGAAGTGAACGCACGCACTGACTCTGAAAACTGTTCTGCTGTGTTTTGAAACACCTGTGGACATGGGGATTTAGCCACCGTCTGCACCACACTGCAAGGCTAAAATCTTCTCTTTCAGAGAGAGGAAAACAGATAGTTTCAAATCCTCTCATCCCTGGGTAAGTTAGATGTGCTGCCATAACTCCCCAGGAAGAAAAGAGAGACCTTGTGGGTAGAAAACATACACAGTATCCAGAACTGTGGTTGGAGGAAACCAGAGACAGAGGCTTGCCCAGCTGAAAACCAACATGAATGGACTTAGCGCCACTGAGCTGTACAGTGAAACATGGTGAAATAAAAACACTTTTCATTTTACCACAATAAAAAACATTAAAAAAAGAAGAAATTAGAAAATATTTTTCTACAGAAATACAAAATATCCAAATAGAAGAAAGAAGATAGACAACTAACATAAAAAGGAACATTTCAGACTACGAGGAAAACTTTTTTTTTCCCTTGAAGGGGTACATACTTTTTAAAGAGGGGAAAAGCCACCAGCAATCTTTATTAAAATAGTTAACCATGGAAACAGATACCTTTCTCAAAGCCACTTCTGTTTATTTTACTAGATTATTCTCATACACATATAGTGAAAGCAGATATTCACAAACGTCTACTTAAATACTCGGTAAACTCTTACTGAAAGGATAGCGCTTCAGGGTCCAACCAACAAAGCACAGGCGTCAACTACGGGTTCGAGACTCTCTACTGCTACATGGTGGCCACATACACATATTGCAGAAGCAAAATGAGAATATCTCAGGGGCTCACATGCAGAATACTGTGACTCAGTAACAGAGTGACAAGAGTCATCCGCTAGAAATAGACCATTCAGGAAAAGAAGGATGCTTAGTGAGAAGTCCACTGGGAAGAAGAACAAGTGCACTTTTTTCAAAAAGTGGGTGTTCACTGGAAGGACTCATGCTGAAGCTGAAACTCCAATACTTTGGCCACTGATGCAAAGAACCAACTCATTGGGAAAGACCCTGATGCTGGGAAAGATTGAAGGCAGGAGGAAAAGGGGACAAAAGAAGCTGAGGTGGTTGGATGGCATCATCCACTTGATGGACATGAGTTTGAGCAGACTCTGGGAGTTGGTAATGGACAGGGAAGCCTGGTGTGCTGCAGTCCATGGGTCACAAAGATTTAGACGCGACTGAGCAACTTATCTGAACTGAACTGTGGGGTGGAGCTGGTCTTCACATTCTCTCTCAGGTTGAAGCCAGCTCTTCCTATTTTTTTGTTTTTAAAGATCAGCTGTTCTTAGTTGATTGGAATGGAAAGAGATACAGTGAAATACAAGGTTGACCATCATCAGGGACCTCACATACATTCTTAACCTCCCACTCGAAGGAGAGCCATCACTTGATTGCCTCATAGGCCAAGGAGAGATGAATGGAAGCAGAACTCCCAATCTCAGTAACAACACAGGCAGGGTAGTATTACAGTGCTCTGACCAAAAAAACAGTAACCCATGGAAAAGGATATTTCCTAGAAACCCACAGAATTTGGACAAGCTTGTAAGTCAGGGAAAACCATCAGAATTATTCTTGCTTCATCACAGCATCTCTGATTTGCCAAATTCTCTCCCACCAAGTACACACATTCATGAAAGAAAATGGTTTGGGCATGAAAGTGAGGCTTTATTTATGCATGAGTCAGTTGTGTGTAACACCCTCTTTGATAAATAATACATTTTAAAAAGAAAAACCTTTCTAGTCAAGAGAGATCAAAAGCTTTCCAGAAATTGAAGTTAAAACCCAGAATTGTTTATTAAATCTGAGAAAACTAGAACTCAAGAGACAGGAAAATAGAAGACTGAGTACAAACTCATACAATGGCAACATTCTGCTAAAATGCATTCTATTAAGAGGTGAATATATAATTTGGACATAAAGGTGTAAAGTAGTTTTTGAGTGTTGATTTTCAGTTGCCAAGTTGTGTTCGACTTTTTTGTGATCCCATGCCCTCCAGGCCCCTCTGTCCATGGGATTTCCCAGGCAAGAATACTGGAAAGGGTTGCCATTTCCTTCTCCAGGGGATCTTCCCAACCCAGGGATCAAACCCACATCTCCTGCATTGGCAGGTGGATTTTTTTCTTTTAACCGCTGAGGCGACCAGGGGAAGCCCAATTTTAACTACACATATAATATATGACTGTATTTCTAAGAATTAAATTTTAGAATATTATAAGTAAAACTAAGATCACTCCCCCAAAGCACTGATACCCTCTAAAATAGCCACTATTTTCTCAGTGTTTTCAGTTTGGAATATATCCTCTCAAATCTTAAAAAAATGTATACACACACACACATACACATATTCATATATGTACATGTGTGTGTATACAGACACATTCAAAGTAAATAGTTTATGTGTGTATGTGTGTTTATGCATGAGGCCAATAAACAACACATTTCCCATGTTAATACCTTCACCAAACAGTACCATAAAATTTTAACCTTTGTGGCTATATTTCTCATCCCATCACTGTATTAATGTTTCGTACTCAGTCAGAGGTCTCTAAATTGACTTGAGAGGAATACAGATCTTCTGAGTAGGAATGAAAAGAGAATTTTTTAAGATGGTATGTTTGTGTTTGTGTGTGTGGGTTTTACTACTTTAGCATCAAATGGGAAAACCTTAAAAGAAGCAACCCAAGCCCAGAATTTATGTACAACAATGGGTGAGAGAGAATAGAAGGAAAGAGAGATGACAATTAGGGCTTCCCCAGAAGACCTTCCCAAGGCTGCTGTCAAGGAACAACGTTGGGTTGATGCTTCAAGGGTCTGACACAAAAGTCACTTCAATGTCTAGGAATGACGAGTGACGTCCAGGAGTGGCAACTTAAACGTCTATAAATGTCTATACCTTCAATGTCAGGATCACACAGGGCCCGGTGTGGGACCATGGCAAGCGAGGACGTGTGCCCTGTGGAGAAGGCAGCTGTTCCACAGCTGCAGCCAATTATCACCATGGTGGAATGCAAGCTGGTGGTCAAACCTTCCCATTTTTAAAGTGAAGCAGAGAAAAAAAAAAGAACACTGGTATTTTAATGTTAAAATCTCTTGATTTTTTTAAAGGTTGACAATTTAAAACCCAAAGTTTCAAAACAACAACTCCACCCAGGCTGACACTTGGCTGGTCACACTGGAGGCTGACTTTGCAAAGAGGACAGCAGTTTGCAACTCTCCTCCAACTCCAAATGTCTTTCTCTGCTGGCGCAACCAATGCTTTGATGAAACTTTGACAAGTTAACATGGAACAGCTCTTTAGAAGGCACTGGGTCGTCTCACAGGTAAATATATTCTGGCAACCGGAGCTCCTGTCTTTCTTCCCTTTCCATTTTGAATGAGTTTCCCAAGAGGGGTAGATAGGACAAAACCACCCACTGAAACACCCTTTTCTGCATGTCTTAGGTATTTTCGGTTGTATCAGAAGAATTTTAGATTGTGTCACCTTGGAAATACATTGGCCACTGCATTTCATGTCCTCTGAGTGAAAGAAGATGCCCCTGATTTACCCAAGAGAGGGGACACAGAGCCCTGGTCACAGGAAAGAAGAGTTCTTGTGAAGGGACCTCCTGACAGGTGTCCAGACAAGTGCTCATGATGAGACATTACTGAGAAAAGAGGAAAGGAACGTAGGGGCCTCTGTCTTCTCTGCTCTGCTTTGCAAGGAGAGCAACTGAAAAGCTGTGGTTTAAGACATGGAGTATTTAACCACGGACCATTCTCACTGAACTCCATCGAGAGGTTTAAAACTGAACACAGCAACCAGAGACTACAAATTCAAAACAATCATTTCCCTATAAGAGTGAAGTTTGTTTCTTAACTATTGGGGTTGAGGAACAGAACCTTGAGAGAGTTGAATGATTTTTAAGAACTGTCAAGGTGAAAATATTAATGACACATGCCCTGTATAATAACAGTCATTGACTGCCAACCAAACAAACATGTTCTTTTTCAAATTCAAGATATGCTGGGCCCCTGATGCATGACATTTTATGAAGAGACTCATCCTACCTTGAAGATGAAATCAGCCATCAGAGGTCCTGGAATCTTAAAGGTTTGTCTCTCTGAGCCCTTCTGAAATTCCACTGTTGTGTTTTCTACAACAAAAACTCCAGGACTGTTAAAGCTGTGCTCTCCTTTGCTTCCTTGAAGTGTTTTTGATTCAATAACTAAAATTTAAAAATAAAGTTTTAATGAAAGTATCCTAAAAGCATTTCATTTCAAAAGATATTTTAGTACATGTAATTGCATCTGATATCAACACATCAGTACATCCACTCAGTTTACAAACACTGATTCAAATTGGTGAAATAAATATATAAGCTTTCTGTGTGTGCGTGCTAAGTTGCTTCAGTAGTGTCCGACTCTGTGCGGCTCTATGGACTGTAGCCCACCAGGCTCCTCTGTCCATGGGATTCTCCAGGCAAGAATACTGAAGTGGGTCGCCATGCCCTTCTCCAGGGGATCTTTTTAGTTGCCTGTAAAAAGGAGCAAACAAGATTTCCAGCTCCAGTAAGGTCTACTCAACTCTTTGGAGTCATAAGGGCAAGAAGAAAACTTGTCTCTATATTTTTGCATGATGGAGTTATTACTTAAAGGTATGTTACTAATTTTCTCACCCCTTCAGATCATAGGCCTAACTTTACTAAACTACAATAAAATTTTAATTTGCTTTAAGATTATTTTTTTATTTTGAAATAATTATAGATTCACAGGAAGCTGCAAAAGTAGTGAAGAGGTCCTGTATACCTTTCATTCAGCTTTAACCAATGGAATGGTTACATCTTATCCAACGATAATACCATATAAAAACTAGTAAATAGACATCAGTACAATGTGTGCCTATAGTCCTGTGCTATTTTGTCACATATCACCACAACCAAAACACAGAACTATGATATCACCACAAAGATCTCTCTCATGTGTCACCTCTTTAGTCACAGTGGCTTTTTTTTTTTCATAATTTGTTTATTTTTTGCCTGTGTCACAAGGCATGCAAGATCTTAGTTCCATGACCAGGGATGGAACCCGTGCTCCCTGGAGTGGAAACACAGAATCTCAACCACTGGATCAACAAGGATGTACCTCATGTTGGTTTTTAAATGAACACTAGTTCTTTACAATCTCTAACAGAACACTGCTGATGGTTTAACCAAAATAACACTCCTACTTTATTTAAATGATTTCTGTCTTTACTTTTCCTTTTTGTTCCCTTTCATTTTATAAATGTTCCCATACTTAGTAGAGCTGATTGACCTGCATTTCTGGCTCCAGCTCTACTCCTAACTCACTGCCTTGGCTTCTTATGGCCTATTTCTAAAATGAGGAGTCAGAGCAGACAATCTCCCAGGTCCTTTTCTCTGAAACCTACGCTTGACTCACTGGTATTCAGTGGTTCTTTAACCATCTCGAACAAAGGACACAACAGAACTACAACTCCATTCAAGCTAATAAAAAGCAACAAAATGATCTGGTTTTAAGAGGCTGCAATCCACATGCTGCTGTGCTTTGGCAGTTTTGTGGGGGTTTTTTTTCTGATTTCTCTCTGCCACTGGAGCAGCTGCAGGAATTCAAGTGCCCTGGACAGACTGTGTAACAGGCATTAGGAGACATCCCTGATTATCCCTGACAGGCAGACTGGGAACTTTTCTGGGAAAATTCAAAGACTGGACACAGGCTCCTTGATCTGCAGGAGTCATTAGCGGTCAAAGAATAATTCTGGCTACTCTCAGGCACACAAAACCCCAACCACTTTGGCCCTGATCTCCGTGACCACAGTAGATTTTTGGAAAGTGTGAGATTAAATTCATTTCCTAGTTCCAATGAAGATATAAAACTGAATGCTATAAAGCGAGTTGTCAGTAAAAATGAGATGGGAAAGTAGAGATGGTAAGAGGGCCCTACACTGGATGAATTAGACCTTGAAATTAAAGGAGGAAAAAATCATGAGCATTCAGGTAATATCAAAAAATGAAATGAAGTTGGGCAAAATCCAACACTGCAAAGAAGAAGGCATACAAAACACCAAGTTTCTAGACGGAGATCGAGCCTGAAGTGACTTGACTAAATTCAAGTAGTGTCCGATGGATTCAGCGGCTGTGTTGGGGCAGTGATTGTTTTACCACTGAGCTGATCTTCTGCATCACAGCTTGCCAAGCTCCATCTGGTTGCAGAGTTATGGTGGCGGCAGAAAGGGGGAGGCGGAGGGAGGTCAGAATCTGGAAAGGCGATCTAGGGGGAAGGGAAGACCAACAGGACATCTATCTTTTGAACCATTTCTGTTCATTTGGTTTTCATTGTTTTTAATGTTTATTTAATTATCTACTTGGGCTTCCCACGTGGTGCTAGTGGTAAAGAACCAGCCTGCCAATGCAGGAGATAAAAGAGACTTGGGTACGATCTGATCCTTGGGTCAGGGAGATCCCCTAGAGGAGAGCACGGCAACCCACTCCAGTATTCTTGTCTGGAGAATCCTATGGACAGAGGAGCATAGGGTCACAGAGTGGACATGACTGAACTGACTTAGCACACATGCATGCAAGTATCTACTGCATTTTCTGCCTCCTTTAATATTTTTTCATGACATTTTGTTTATCTTTTGTTTTCATTTATTTTTAGGCCATGCCATACAGCATATGGGAACTTAGTTCCCCAATCAGGGACTGAACCCATGGTCCCTGCATTGGTAATGCTGAGTCTTAACCACCAGACCACCAGGGAAGTCCCTGATGTTTTGGTTTTTGATTCTGGGTCCATTCTATTAATTTCAATGGTGTCTAAGATCTTTAGTGATGAAGATGTGATAATACAAGGTGCAAAACCAGTTTTCAAGTGCATATGAATTACCCAAACTACTCCTCTCCTCCACTTCTCATAAAATATCTTTATTCCAATTATTTCAAAAGGTTTCCCACTCTCTGGGTCACAAACCCTGGCTGCATACACAGGAGGTCAAAAGCAGGTGCCCTGACTTCAACTATGTAACTTGATTCAGAAATGGGTGGTCAATAAAACTAAGAGAAGTGCTCTGATGAAGCCACCTTTTGACGGTTTGTGGATCCCAACACTGCTGACACTTTGGATTAACAAGGTCACTGTGATGAATTCACAGTGAAGCAGAAGCCAGTGTTGTTCTTCAGGAGTTGTCATTTTTACGGGGGTAAACTTGCTTCTCCTTAGTGCCTATGCCTCTTAAAAGTAATTGGCAGAAGAGGGGTTTTTGTAAATCAACAATTCAGACAATGTGTTGAGTTATGGATATGTTTTTTAAGTTGTTATTTTAAAATTATTTATTTATTTAAATTGGAGGATAATTACAATATTGTGGTGGTTTTTGCCATATATCAACATGAATCAGCCATAGGTAAGTATGTGTCCTCCTATCCTGAATCACCCCGCCACCTCCTCCCCACCTCATCCCTCCAGGCTGTCCCAGAGTGCCCTGGGTGCCTTGCTTCATGTATCAAACCCACATTTGTCATCCATTCTACATATGGTACTATACATGTTTCAGTGCTATTTTTTCAAATTAAGGTCCAACACCGGTGTATGTGCTGCAGGCTTACATTGTGATGTGAAATCCATAGCTCATGAGAACTGCACTCACAGCCCTTCAATCCTCAGAGCTCTCAAGGGCCCTCTGTGTTCCTATAGTAGGACAGCTAGTGCTGAGTAAAGACCCCAGGAAATGTATAAACGCTCCCACTCTGTGAAAGGCAGAGGATAACAGCCTCTTTTCCTGCTGCCGCTGCTGCCTTCTTTCTCCTCTTCAGGCTTAAATGACTGGGGTTGCAGAGAAGAGTCAAGGAAGAGATGCTATGCATAGTCAAATAGATGAAAGAGAAATAGCCTATGATATTGCTTACATGAAATCTTAAAGAAAGATACAAACAAGCTTTGGCATTTGTTAGCTGGCTTAACAAAGAAATATATTGGAAATCCCCTTATCCTCTGCTGCTTAATCTGAAGAATGAAGTTAGTGTTGTTGCAAGAATAAACAAAATTACATACCAGGAAAAAAAGAGGATCAGAAACCAAGATGCTTTTTTATCCCCAAATCTTCACAACTCAAGTCTACAATAGCTACCTTTACATATTTTGATCCATATTAGTTATTTTTAAAAGAAATGACTAGAAAGATGATGAATGTTCCTAACTGCTTCTAGCTGAAAGGCCTGCCCAGAGAAGTATCAGTCCAGGCTTCTTTTGAAAGAGACAGGGTCATGCTAATTATCCCAAGAGGTCTCAAATTCTCAGAAGGCCACAAAGTATTGTTAGGTAAGCATGTAATGAGCATTTAGCATGGCTGCCTTGGTTATAAATACATCAAACTTATGCTTCGAATTGTATTTTATAGTGTATGCACACTTTACTCAGCATCCATTTCCTCTGATGAGTCATTATACTTATGCTTATATTTATACATCTCTATACAGTGAGTCCCCTAAATATAAACCTTCAAGCTGCAAACTTTCAGAGATCAGAATGTGTGTTCGCATGTCCAATCAATAAGTTAGTTCACATGTCCAGCGTACATTGTCAAATGTGTGCATCCTCTACAAGTGATCATGCTGTGTGCAAGTACAGTAGTTTAGCATCTTTATTTCAAGCCTAGGATGTCCAGAAGCAAGCATAAAATAGCAGTGAGATAGCTGGTACAGTGTAGTCAATTGTGTTAGTTGGGTACCTAGGATAACTTTGCTGGACTGACAAACAAATTGGACTTACAAAACACTCTTAGGCTGGAACTCATTTGTACATAAGGAACTTACTGTATATGGTCATCAGACAGCATTTAGAGGACCGAAAAAAAAAAAAAATTCTTACAATCAATAATGGAGGTTTTCAGCTTATGGCATCTTGCCTTCTCCAATTTATTGCCAGTCAACACATTTCATGTTGAAGTTTTGCTTCAATAAAATTCCTTTTGCGGTAACCCTCTTATTATTTCCATTTTTGAAATTTTAGGGAAATCTGGAGCTGTATGCTTGATATAATACTGAGGCCAAGCTTGCAAAAGGACTGGAAATTCAGCTCTAATCGCCTTGAGGCAATATGCAAGATGGATATTCTGTAATTAAATTCCACAGCAAAGAGACTAACATTATGTTACTGAGTGTCCTCAGTTTTTAATGATGCCTTTTGGAGGGTGGCACTTAATACAGATCTTAAAAGAATGATTTATTACTGCAAAGTCAGCTTAATTTCAGGACTATATCTTCAGAATAAAATTAAGAAAACACTTGTACAAATCAAGAAAATAGAGCCACATCTATATTAAGATGTTAAGAAATGCTAACTAATTCCTTTGTAAATGAAGCCAGTTCATTCTCTTCACTGGCAGAGAAAGGTAACTTTCAGAAATACTTCTGAGCCAGTTTTGAGAATGTTCAGAAGGAGGAATACTCCAACCAAGAGATCTTATCACCTTTGAAGAAATGGGAATATTTTTGAGCTCTGTTCTTGGGACAGTGCCAGTCTTGAGTATTAAAGTTATATTTAATATGCCAGAACAGGTATGTATGTAAATGAGTATTTTACCTCAAAGTATTCATCTTTACTAAACCTGTTTACTGCCTACTTATTCTGCTTTTTTGAGCTTATTAAGCTCTCTTTAAAGCTGAATTTTAAAGAACTGTCTTTAGTATCATGAGAAAATCAGGCCCTGTCATTGCATATTTTTTTTCTAAAATATCTTTTTGATATGCTGTAAAATTCACATGCCATAAAATTCACTCATTTAAAATATAGTTTTGTGGTTTCAGCATATTCACAGAATTGTGAAGCCATCACCACAATCGAAGTTAGAACATTTTTGTCACCACTCCTCCAAAGAAACCCCATATCCATTAACAGTCCCCAGACCTGCCACCAGCCCAACTCACCCTCGCCCTACGCAACTGCCAACCAACTTTCTGTTTTGTTTATACTGGACACTTTATATAAAGACAATCATATATTATAATACATGGCCTTTTTGTGACTGACTTCTTTCACTTAGCACAATGTTTTCAAAGATCGTATCTGTTGTAGCAGGCTTCCCAGGTGGCGCTAGTCGTAAAGAACCTGCCTGCCAATGCAGGAAATATAAGAGACTTGCGTTCTATTTTTAAGTAGGGAGGATCCTCGAGTAGGAAATGGTAGCCCACTCCAGTATTCTTGCCTGGAGAACCCCATGCACAGAGGAGCCTGGCGGGCTACAGTCCAAAGGGTCACAAAGACTTGGACATGACTGAGCACAGAGATATCTACTGTAGCACATGTCAGGGACTTCATTCTTTGTTTTAGTCAAATAATATTCTACATATGCTACATTTTATTTACCCATTCATCTGTTAATGGACATTTGAGCTGTTTTTACATCTTGGCTATTATGAATTATACCGATGAATATTCAGAACTTCATAGTTTTGAACCAAAATGTTATTTTACAACGTGATCATTCAAATCACTCACAGAATTTGAATCTAAATGATTTTCACCTGTTTCCAAACATCAAGTTGGCATTTACAAGGATGAAGATTTATTCTCATCAAGTGTGGGCTGGGACTCCCCTGGTGGCCCAGTGGCTAAGATTCTGTGCTTCCAATGCAGGGGCCCGGGTTCCATCCCTGGTCAGGGAACTAGATCCCACGTGACACAGCTAAAGATCCTACATGCCACAACCAAGACCTGGCATAGCCAAATCCAAATAAATAAATTTTAAAAAAGAAACAGCTCTGGTGGGCTTTAAGCCATTTTAAGAAGAAGCCTTAAAAAATGTTTTGATGCATCATTCTAGAGAAAGTCTTGAGTGAACTGACCACTATATGGTTGTAAACATTTTAAAATTTTAAATAGATCAGTCACACTCTTTTAGTCATAATTCATACAATAAAGTAGGGTTAAAAAAAGACTTTCCAATAATGGCTCACTCTCACTGTCCTAAACCTATTCTCTTCCTTCCCTAATTTAGGCCATAATGTGCTACGGAATTTCTTTTTTTTTTTAAGATTTTTAATCTATATCCTTGGTGACAAACACATTTTGATATAAACATTCCTCAAAGGACATTGCTGGTTAGAATATCAGTACTGAATCTAAAGTATACAAACACATACACACACATGCACATACTCACTTGGAAGCTACAGAAAATGTATGATGCTTGTGGCCCTGAGAAATTCTTACAACTTGAAAATCTAAGATGGTGGCTCAGGAGAAACAAAAAGGCAAAATATGCAGCATTTTAATCCAGTAGACCTTGATTTGTATGGCTTTAAAATAGCTATATTTATAACTACTTAGTGTTTTGTACTTTTTACAGAAAGATAGAGCTGAATACAGTGACCTTCTTCAAGGCCAGGGACCCCAGTCTTGGCAGAGACTCAACTGCCCCAGAAAAATACTAAGAAAGTCCTTCGCATGGACATAGGAAACCCTGGGATAGAAATATACAAACTTCAGTATTCCCAGTTTCTTTGGGTCCTAAGAGACCAGAAAGGGCTTCCCTCATAGCTCAGTTGCTAAATCATCTGCCTGCAATGTAGGAGACCCGGGTTTGATTCCTGGGTCGGGAAGATCCCCTGGAGAAGGAAATGGCAACCCACTCCAGTATTCCTGCCTGGAGAATCCCATGGACAGAGGAGCCTGGTGGGCTACCCTCCATGGGGTTGCAAGAGTCGAACACAACTTAGCAACTAAACCACCATCGAGAGACCAGAAAAGCTAAGACAGAGGAGATTTCATGTGACTTTGACCAAAGAAACATACAATCCCATCCCTTTATTGTTTCAAACTCTTAGGATTCTGGGAAACCAGTGTCAACTTTCAGTGCCCCCTAGATCTAGGCTGTGATGTGCTGTCAACAGAGCTTGTAATTGTCAGCTGTATTCACTGATGCAGCTCTGTGTTTTAAATTTTGTTTTGCTATTTTTTATCCCAAACTACTGAGATCTCCAGAAGACTCTTGAATCTAAGTTTACTCTCCACATAAAAAATAGTTCATTTCACATATAACTTGATTTCCTCTCCTGTCAGGGGATTAATCCCAAACTGGTATACTTCCCACTAGGACATGAGAACCAAAAAAATCAGGGTCATAGATCATTCCTTAGAGATGTAGACTATTTCAGTGGGTGTGCTCAGTTGTATCTCAGTTATATAAATATATACATACATTTTCTTTACTAAATAAGCTTTCAGAAAAGAAGAAAAATGTTAAGATTAAATCTTGCTTACAGAGATGTGCAGGTCCTTTCACTGTAATTCTCACACTTCGACTTCCCAAAGGAACAGCAATTACATTTTCCTCCCCTAGGAAAGAACACAAGACAAGTGTAATAAAACTTCTGCACTAAAGGCCCATTGAAATAAGCAACTCAATCAAAACTAAGGGCATGTATAAAGTGTTCTTAATTGTATTTCATTTCCATCTTCAGTCAGGAAATCTTCAGGAAACGGCTATTGTGTCTCAGGCATATTAATATACTCACATAATTTTATTTAAATATTGGGTTGGCCAAAACATTCATTTTTTCTGTAAAATGGCTCTAGTAGTTCTTAGTTGTCTTTAACTTCACTAGAAACAATTTTGTTAGACTGCATTAAGACAGCTGTCATATCAGTGTGCATTTGCAAAAAAAAACTTACCAAAACTGGTGAATTTTTGTGTAGCCATGTTAATAATAAAGATGGAAGAAAAAAAGCAACATTTTCAGCATATCATGCTTTATATATTTTATTATTTCAAGAGAGATAAACACGCAACTGAGAAGCAAAAAAAGATTTGTGCAGTGTATATAGAAGGTGCTGTGATTAATTGAATGTGTCAAAAGTGGTTTGTGAAGTTTGTGAAGTTTCGTGCTCGAATTTCTAGCTGGACAATGATCCATGATCCAGTAGATTAGTTAAAGTTGATAGCAATCAAATCGAGTTATTGCAAATAATCTACATTATATCACACAGAGATAAACAACATATTCAAATATCCAAATCAAGTGTTGAAAATCATTTGCACCAGCTTGACTGTGTGGATCACAATAAACTGTGGAAAATTCTGAAAGAGATGGGAATACCAGACAACCTGACCTGCCTCTTGAGAAACCTGTATGCAGGTCAGGAAGCAACAGTTAGAACTGGACATGGAAAAACAGACTGGTTCCAAATATGTTCATTGGAAGGACTGATGCTGAAGCTGAAACTCCAATACTTTGGCCACCTCATGCGAAGAGTTGACTCATTGGAAAAGATCCTGATGCTGGGAGGGATTGGGGGCAGGAGGAGAAGGGGACGACAGAGGATGAGATGGCTGGATGGCATCACCAACTCAATGGGCATGAGTTTGAATGAACTCCGGGAGTTGGTGATGGACAGGGAGGCCTGGCATGCTGCGATTCATGGGGTCACAAAGAGTCGGACACGACTAAGCAACTGAACTGAATTGAACTGAGTTATGTTAATCATTTTGATGTCTGGGTTCCACGTAAGTTAAGCAAAAAGAATCTTCTTGACTCTGCATGTGATTCTCTTCTTAAATGTAACAAAAATCCCATTTTTTAAAATAAATTGTGACAGGCAATAAAAAGGGGATGCTGTACAATAATGTGGAACAGAGAGATCATGGGGCAAGGGGAAAGGACCCATCAACAACACCAAAGGCCGATCTTCATCCAAAGAAGGTGATGTTGGGTGATATGGTGGAATGGGAAGGGAGTCCTCTATAATGAGCTTCTTTCAGAAAACCAAATGATTAATTCCAACAAGTAATGCTCCCATTATACCAACTGAAGACAACACTCGATGAAAAGTGTCCTGAATTAGTCAACAGAAAACCCATAATCTTCCATCAGGATAATGTAAGATTGCATGTTTCTTTGATGACTAAGGCAAAAACTGTTACATCTTGGCTGGGAAGTTTTGACTCATCTGCCATATTCACCAGACACTGCTGCTTCCGATGTCCCTTCAATTCGGTCTTTACAATATTCTATTCAGGGAAAAATTTTCGATTCCCTGGAAGACTGTAAAAAGCACCTAGAACAGTTCTCTGCTCAAAAAGATTAAAAGTTTTGAGAAGATGGGATTATGAAGTTGCCGGAAAAATGGAAGAAGGTAGTGGAACAAAATGGTGAATACATTATTCAATAAACTTCCTGGTGAAAATGAGAAATGTGTCTTTTACTTAAAAAAAAAAAAAACTGAAGGAATTCTTTGGCCAATCTATTTTTTAAAAGTATTAAAGAAAAAGTTAAATAAATTCACTGAGCAACTTGAGTGAGTCCACAACTAGGGCCCTAAGGTCACACTCATTCATTTGAGGCTGCTTGTGCCCTACAAAGGCAAAGGTGAGTAACTGTAACAAAGACAATATGGCTCACAAAGACTAATATACTTCCTACATGGTTCTCCACCAAAAATTTTTGACAATATCTGGCCAAGATAATTATTTAATGAAAATCCTGCCCCCTGTAGATTCTTTTTTCATGCTGTTACACATTCTGAAATTAATTTTCATGACCACATAATAATCCAGGGGTATAAGAAATTCTATCTCCCAGTCTCCTATTTGATCAAGTCTATGACTAAATGATATTAGTACATCATCAACAATATGAATTACTTCAAGCAGATGTTGTGTTTTGTTTGTTTAACTTACAGCGAAGAATTTTTGATAGCCTCTGGGTGAAATTGTTGAATCAAAGGATGTCACTATGTTTATTGACTTGTTTATAAGTTTTATTAAATAAAAATACTTATTTACTATTAAAATTAGAAAATTCAAAAAGCATTACAGACAAAATAAAGCTATTACCAACCCAACTGCCCAGAGATCATCACTTCTAGCACTGTGATAAATATCCTTTCCTGATTTTATATTTGTTTGTTTTTGACACACATACATGTAAAAAAAATGAACACTATTTAAATGCTCACTATTTTGGGAGGAGTTAGATAAACCGTGATATGCCCCGGCTAAGAATCTTTCCAACCCAGGAATTGAGCCTGTGTCTCTTGCATCTCCTGCATTGACAGGTGAATTCTTTACCACTGGCACCACCGAGGAAGCCCTGAGGAATACTCTACAACAGATAACAGTAACAATAGGAGGCTGCATTACTTGACGTGGAAAGACTGCTAACTGATGCATGAAAAAAGCAAGTTAATATATGTTTTTACCCAGTGTTAGATAAGTACAATCCTTTGTTTTCCTGGTAGTTGGATCACTTGTGCATGTATCCTCAAGCAGCATATTGCTTAATTTTGCTTGTTTGGGACCTTGGTTAAAATAGAAAGAAACTACATACATATGTGTATATTCTTATGTGATTTGCTTTTCTTTGAACAATGCTGTTTACTTGAAATCAAGTCATGTTGATGAGCCTAACTGTCCTTCATTCACTTTCACAACTGTACACAACATAATAGTTAAACATCTTTGAATCTCCTTTTCCAGAAAAAAAAAAGAAAAGAAAAAAGCAAGTTAAAAAATAATTATATGGCCTAGTATTTCTTGACTATGATGTCAAAACCATAGGTAACAGATGAAAAACATAAACTGGACTCCATCAAAATTAGACTTTTCCACGTCAAAGGGTACTATGAATAGAATGAAAAGGCAAGGCATGCAGTGGGAGAAAATATCTGTAAATTATGTACCAAATAAGGGGTTAATATTCAGAAGAGATACAGTTTCTACAACCCAACAACAACAACAAAAATCACCCCAATTCAAAAAGTGGGCAAAGGACTTGAATACACATTTTTCCAAAGAGGATATACAAATGTCAATAAGCACAAAGAAACAGGCTCAACATCATTAATCATTCAGTTCAGTTCAGTCACTCAGTTAAGTCCGACTCTTTGTGACCCCATGAATCGGAGCACACCAGGCCTCCCTGTCCATCACCAACTCCTGGAGTTCACTCAAACTCATGTCCATTGAGTAGATGATGCCATCCAGCCATCTCATCCTCTGTCGTCCCCTTCTCCTGCCCCCAATCCCTCCCAGCATCAGGGTCTTTTCCAATGAGTCAACTCTTCGCATGAAGTGGCCAAAGTACTGGAGTTTCAGCTTCAACATCAGTCCTTCCAAAGAACACCCAGGACTGATCTCCCTTAGGATGGACTGGATGGATCTCCTTGCAGTCCAAGGGACTCTCAGGAGTCTTCTCCAACACCACAGTTCAAAAGCATCAATTTTTCGGTACTCAGCTTTCTTCACAGTCCACTCTCACATCCATACATGACCACTGGACAAACCATAGCCTTGACCAGACGGACCTCTGTTGGCAAAGAAATGTCTCCTTTTTAATATGCTTTTTAATATGCTATCTAGGTTGATCATAACTTTCTTTCCAAGGAGCAAGCGTCTTTTAATTTCATGGCTGCAATCACCATCTGCAGTGATTTTGGAGCCCCCCAAAATAAAGTCTGACACTATTTCCACTGTTTCCCCATCTATTTGCCATGAAGTGATGGGACCAGATGCCATGATCTTATTTTTCTGAGTGTTGAGCTTTAAGCCAACTTTTTCAATCTCCTCTTTCACTTTCATCAAGAGGCTTTTTATTTATTTATTTATTTATTTATTTGAGATCAAGAGGCTTTTTAGTTCCTCTTCACTAATCATTAGGAAAATGCAAATCAAACCCACAAAGAGATATCACTTCACACTCATTAGGATGGCCATTATTAAAAAAAAAAAAAACAAGCAAAATAACAAGTGTTGTTCAGGATGTGAAGATATTAGAACCCTTGTGAACAGCTGATGGAAATACAAAATAATTTTTCAATCACTATGGAAAACAGTTACTCAAAACATTAAATATAGAGTTACAACATGATTTAGCAATTCCACTTCTGGGTATACCCCAAAGAACTGAAATCAGCGACTCATACAGATATTTGTACAGGCACATATACAGCAGCATTATTTCAGCCAAAGATGAACTCAACCTAAGTGTCCATTCACTGATGAGTAGAAAGCTATCACATGGTAAATATATACAATGGGATATTTTTCAGCCTTAAAAAGTAAGGCAATTCTAGGACTTCTCTGGTGGTCCAGTGGTTAAGAATCTGCCTTACAATGCAGGGGACTCAGATTCGGTCCCTGGTAGGGGAACTAAGATCCCATATGCCTCAAGTCAACTAAGTCAGCACACTGCAACTACTGAGTCCATGTGCTCTAGGGCTAGTGCACTACAACAAGAGAAACCCACATACCACATACTGCAACTAGAGAAAGCCCGCATGCTGCAACAAAGGTCTGGGGTGGCCAAAATGAAAAAAAAAAAATTAAAAAGTATTTTTTT